TTCGCGAGCTATCTCTATCGCCTCACGGCCGACCTCCAACCACCTCCGACCTACACACACACACATACAAACTGCCTATCACATTTACGTGTATGTGTAGATACAAATGGTCACTCTTACTAAATGCCTAAAAGCAAGGAAACATTCAGGTTAGACGTTCACAACAAGCGTATCTCATAATCTTATTAATTCTCATGTGCAAATTGGAATCTGAATGAGTTTATTAAGTATCTCCGGGGCTCATCTCGCCACAGGATGCAATCATACATACATAGGTCCCCAATAATAAGAGAAGATTACAAATAACGACGTGTATTGCTCCGGTTTTATGTGAAAATCATAAAGTTTCAAATGGATCAATCTTCGTTTGGTGTATGTGTCCCGGGATTTTATCCCAGGGTAGGCGCCCGCAGTTGGTTTCATTTCAGGCACAAACACACACACATGTCACACATGCCTTGACCGATCTGCCCATTTGATTTCGAACTTGCCTGGATTTGGAAGAAAACATCGTTGTTACTATGCAAAATTTAGACTAAAAAAGTTCACAACAACCGAAGAGCAGTAGGTAATATTGAGCTTAGATAACCAGCAAAATATAAATATAATTGGAATATTCTGGATAGAATGATTTACTGGCCGACACCAAACATGGGACAGCTGTTTATCCTCTGTTGATAAAGGTCAGGGATGCGTACGTTTTTCTCCATCGGCACTCAAACCACCAACTTCCGTGCTGAAAGCCCAACATTCTACCTCTGAACTACATGGGCGAGCGATTATTTTGGTTAGATGACATACATTTTTGTTTTTGTCCCTAAAAATTAAGAAACCTCATGGGATGTTTGTTGAAGTCATCTATATCAAATCTTGGTAGATTCACAGGAAGTAGGCATTGTTTACGAATCCCGATGTGGGAAAAACAACTGTCGACCAACACAAGTAAACTTCACAAATAAAATGTATGGAACAAGTGTTAAATCAGTATAGGTACAAGGAGTGAGGCCTAAAACATACAATCAATACGCTGATGTGATATTTGTGCATTCGCACAGATTAAAATGAGAACACAGTTGACGAACATCATGGGGTGATTTGCTAAAGATATCAATCTAAAAGCCGAACAGTTTCATCTTTCAACGGGGCAAAACATTTTCAGGTGGACTAGAAAAGGGTATACAGTTCAAGCAAATCAATATCAATAAGTGGACGAGGTCGGCTGATGTGTGATTCGATAAAACCCAAAAGTGGCCCAATACTTTTCAATTTCTGATAGACTGGTATTCACACTTGTGGAACTCACAATCCTGACCGTTCGGTTTCGAGTCCACATTGTGGTGCGGTAGAAGTGCATTGCTCACAATTTCCAAAAGGCATCAAACGTATTTGCAGCGGTTTTGGTTTATTTCAGCTGTATGTCTGCCACGTGAACATGGCTTTGCGTGTTGCTGACTAACCGTTCCACCCGATAATAGTAAAATGAATTTATTTTTCAGTCATCCATCTTTAAAGCTCACTTATCGCTGTAATACACTTCATCGCCATAAAAAGTCATGACTTCTCCTTAAGGATCAGACCTATCATTGAGTTAGAAGACATTAAAAGCCAACAAATGCGAATCTGACACAAAAACGAAATGCTTGAACATCAGTCTGCAAGCCATGTCATGAAAAAGAATAAAACAATGAGCGTATTTTGCGGCCTGGTATCCGGAGGACCGATTGATCTTTGATGCTTTTCCAATCATTGTTGACCAACTATCAACTGTCTAAATAGTAAGAACACGCCATTTTGTAGAGTTCGCGGAAAACACTGTTGAACTGGATGCATCGTTGATGCCACTAATCTATATGAAATCAAATTCTTTATATAGGGCCATTAGTTCCTGGACGTCAAATAATCCTATCTTAAAAAGCACTAAAGAGAGAATTTTATTGTTTATTGTGGTACACAGCTCAAACCCAAGTAGCTGTCTAGAAGGGACTCATGCACACAAAGAAATCTCCATCTTCGTGCCTGACTGAAACAAAGACAACGATGCGATATTCTGATTGCAGCCAACTTGGTCTTCTCAAATTGGCGATAAAACCTGGGTTGATGAAGTAATTTCTCTCCTATAACACGCACATAGGGGAGGGAACAAGAAAAAGAAAAGAGAACGAAAGTACCCACATACACACGTACCTTTCATTCGCCGTGGACAGAACGCAATGATAGTTCAATTCATCTCCGAAAAATTGCACACCCCAAAATCCGTACAGAGACATGAAGAATAACAGGAACAGAGTCACGTTGTACATCTGATGTGTAGAACGCCTGGAAAAAAACAATTTACGCAACAAGAAGAACCAGTATTGGGAGTCCAACCTATACATGTACTGCATGGTTACTTGAGAGTGAATATTCATGGAGTAAAAAGACGAATGTGACAGACATCAAGAATATGTGAATTTGGCCGTAGTTCTCGATAGAGGTTGGTCCCTTATCACGCAAATGTTACTTTATAACGAAATTTCTCTTAATCTGGGTGTCTTTCTCTGCCAAAATGTATCCCAACGTTACACTAATTTAATTTTCTTGTAAACTCGTGTAAAACTTTGAGTAGAATAGGCAAAATGCATTTCAATAAATAGCAGATTAAATATGCGGTAATCTGTTAGCCCAGTAAAGGAAAGCATTTCACTTATTCATTCTCAGATCAACATGCTCAGTGATTTCTCTTTATGTTCACTGAGATTACTCGCCGTGCACAATCTTAAGCTGATGTCTTACACTGAGTAATTGATATCTGTGATCCTGCACGAGAAATCACTAGGTACCACTCGATACTGCAATCTGTGATGGATCGTTTTCCCTTCAGTAGTTTCATTTCTAACTACGTTATACAGATAGCAGACTCCGAATGTAACCGAGCAGACAAACTCTTATCTCCCGTGGGATACATTTCTTTAAAAGGGTGCATGTGGAAAATTTCGACATATGACTGAATGGGATGGGAACTTTGTAGAATACAGATAGACTTCAAGAGGTAAATTGACGGTGTGTTACACTTGAAGAAGTGGGTCGTAATTTCATCATCCTTCTGAATAGCTGGATTGTAAAACGGCACCAAGAATAATGACTGTATATCACCAACAGCAGTAGCTACTCCTAGCCTGTATTCACTAGAAAATTTAAACAATATCTGTACACTTGGTGACCTCAAATCCAAAATGAGCTTGGGCACTTAAATCCACCCCAGGGTCGGATTTGAATCATCAGTCATTCACTTATTTTATTTTTGCAATTATTCTGAAAAACTACATCGTTTCTGATTATCCTTAAGCGCAACTAGGAAGGGAAAATTGATATAGGGGCCTTGAGTTCGCAGATAACAGTATCGTTCTTTGAGATACACCTAGCAGCCTTCCGCCTGTTTGCGATTTCAATGCCATTTCGTCAAATAAAGTGACTTAGAAATAAAACTATTCAAGAGCAAAGAGATTTTAACGATGGCAATCCCCCACAACAGATAGGGATGATGATCCACAGTAAGCCTATATCTTCTTTCTAGGTCTTCAAGTACCTTTGCTTGGCTATATGGCTCAACGGTGGAGGTGGAATCCAGCTTTGCTTTTGTGCCACGAGAAGGGTTTTCTACAATTTACTGGAAATTATGGTTAAAAAGCCACTATTAAATAATTTTTGTAATTACTTTTTTCTGTTTCCCATCGTGAAGGTCAACTGATGCGAGTGGCTTTCACATATACAGACTCGACGATGCTATTTTCTCCAAAACGTTTCCTTATTGTCTTATCTAGTGATCTCAAGTTCTGCGTTGTCCTGCAACACACCTCAGAAGATGAGCCCTCTTCGCAACACCGTGTTCCAAAATGGCACTGTTGTTTTGGCGTCCACTTAAAAACTAAAATTAATACATACAGTAGAGGACTTTGATGGGATGACTTTGGAAGCGGTGTGTGGCCTCCAAAGTTGCATTCGGTGCTGCGTCACTCCTGCCAGGAATCACCATGTAAGGATAGTTGACATCAGAGATATCCACGGAGCGAGCTTACACGTGCGCAACAGATAATATTGAATACCATTGGTGTTGGCTCTAAGCAATTTGTTATTGATGACTGTTAATGTATAGAATCAGTGCTCTAATGAATCACATTTCCGGCACGCCCGTAGCCAACGAGAGTTTTCCGTAACGAAACTCGGTTATACCACTGTTTGGTTTTCTCTATCATTTCGATCTGCTACACACAATTTCAACATTTGATACAATCCAGTCCGATGTTTTTGTTGGTCTTTTTCGCTCATCGTCTCACAGATCACTTCACATTACATAGAAAATACTCAATCCGCTCACAAATTTTGAAAGGAGGCAACTATTCAGGTTAAGCAGATGCTGATCTCAAATTTAGACAGACAGTTTTGTTACCTTTAAAAGAGTTATAGTTTGACTGATCTCATTGTTTCTCTCTCATGTTAAAATCTATCACTATTGAAAATCTCTAGGTTCTCATTGATTAGTTCACACAAATCAGTAAAATCAGAATGTTTACCAAAATGGTCACTGAAAATCACATAAAACAACGCTCTGCTACATCTAATCCCACTTACTGAAAGATCGCCTTGACTCGAGCCTGAGGAAGTTGAAGTTTGATCGCGGTTCGAAAACTACGAATCAGTATCAATGGTCTGGGGCAACGAATAATTGTCATAAACCCGTAATTTTGCCAAAAGCGTTCACTTATTGGACAATGCAATTGTTTTGTGGGACATTGAAATGAGATATAGATTTCCACACAATGTAAGGCCAATGATGCCCAAATAAAGAATAGCATTGTCGCGTCGAAACAGTTCCAGAATCGCTGAAAGTAGGCCTTATTCTTTCGCGAATCCATTGCCCCAGCTGCTGTCTGAGAACGCTCAGTTGGGGCCGGTGGGGAGGTTGTTGGAAGTGAAAGGGAATAGAAGAGAACGAACCAGAGCATAGTGAGAAATAGATAGAGATAGGGACAGAGTAATGTGGAATGAACCCAAACAAAGCAACTGTTCGCATCTGGTGACCCCAGAGCACATGCATGGTCGTGTTTTTGCAGTACGGAATGCAGAACTGAAACGGGCCATTGTGATCTCATGAGATGATGTGTAGTGATGAGTAGTGTAAAGTAGTGAAGTGTGGTGTAGTGTGGTGTTTAAGTACAGTCTACGGTTGTAAAAACAAAAGCAAAAAACAAAAGAAAACCAAATAAGTACCGGATAGTACCTGAGTTTGCCACTGTGTGATAAAACACNAAAACACAAAAAATATTTTAAACAAAAAGAAACGCAAAGGCGTAATTGTAGTTCGTAGTGTGGTGGTGTGATAAATTAAAACAAAAAACACAAGTGACATCAAACCACATGCATGAGTATATTGTGAGGATAGACGGGTGCAGAGTAGAAGTGACAAAATAAACCGCTGTTCTGTGCGGAAAAGAGTTGAAAAAAGAATTCAGATTCAACGGTCTAATTTTGTGTACACCCCTCCCCCCCACACACACACACGGGCATACAGACATACAAACAGATACCGGCAGTCAGACAGACAGACAGCAGTAATGGTTTTTAAAAAATTACATGTGTAGTGAAAATCAGAGAGCATGCAACAACAGGAAATGTTCTAAACACTATGGGTTAAATTGATGAAAGGCGTATGTTTGCACTAAACCTTATTTTATGATTCTACGCCACTGATCAAGTTTAATTTTTCCTTCAGTCCCTCCCCCGCCCCCCGTCTCACCCAGTGTCTAATTACTCCCACCGTTTTAGCAAAATACTGCACCCAACTAGACAGACTATTCCTCTCTCACACACTGTTGTGTTTATCGGAATGTTTTGATTCAGAGATAACGAGCTATAGATGTGGTCATTTTTCAGGACAAAAATATTCAAGTGCATGGTGTTTGTAATAGATTGAATACTGAGGTAAAACCCAAGGAACGCCTCACTTTTTTGTTTTATTGCTTAACCGGGTAACTAATATTTTAAACCAACTTATTTCCGAGATTTTAATGAGTGTACAAAACACCAAAGATCAGTATCGACACCGTCTTGCGTAATTGCTCTTATAGTTCATTCCATGTGAAGAAATAACCAAACGTACGCTCAGCACATTTTTAAATATCATTGAATTAATACAGCTAAATGCTGTCTTGAAGACGAGTTGTCCTGCTTAAAGTTTACTAAACCCACGTGCAAAAACAAAACCTGAGTCGTCGTTACCGTTTACGGTTTATCTCCTGTAAGAGTGTTTCTGGTTTATTGAATTTTACTTCTTCACATTGACAACTTACCACCTGTTCTTCAATCTTATAACATGGAATCCACAATTGAAGCTTCGTATAAAACACAGCATATCGCATCGCTTTGCACGCTTTTACAGAAATCCAAAACACATTCACCTGTGGGTTTTCAATTTTCATTTATTTTTATAAATCGTCTTTTCTGTCCTACGGATCCAGCCTGACCGCGGACTAAGCAGATCCTTATCCTCGTCATAAGAACTGCTCTCATGGAGTAAGAAGACTTTAAATGCAGCCTTCAGTAACTGAGGAACACTTGAACGGCGTGCGGTCGCTCAAGTTGTGCGCTCCCGGTTTAATCGAAATATTTCTGCGAAATCTCGTCGTACATCGTCGAGTCTACGTTCATTCGATCCAGTTTTGTGAGCTCTATCTTGTGATATCATTCCACTGGAAGTATTTTGTTTACGTCTCTTTATTGAGCCGTTTTTCTGTTTTCATCGAAGCTTTGGGATTTACTCACGCGTGCAAAATTGTGCAATTTTATTCGCTGTGTCCATAATGTGATATCGCTCGAAAGGTAATTAAACAACCTTTCCAACGAGCCCCGATTGAGCTTTCT